CAATAAAAACAGTAAAAACAATAAAAACAATAAAAAACAATAAAACAATTAAAAACAATAAAAAATAAAACAATGAAAAACTAAAAACAATTAAAAACATCAAAAAACAATAAAAACGCTAAAACAATAAAAACCAATAAAAACAAAAGCAATAAAAACAAAAAAAACTATAAAACCTAAAACCAATGAAAAACAATAAAACCAATAAAAACCAATAAAAATAAAAAACCTAAAAACAATGAAAAAAGTAAAAAACAATAAAAACAATTAAAACCATAAAAACAATAAAAAACAATAAGTACCAATTTAAAAAACTAAAGAACAATTAAAACAATAAAAAACAATAAAAAAATAAAAACAATAAGTACCAATTAAAAAACTAAAAAACATAAAAAACCAAAGAACAATAAACAATAAAAACAATAAAAACAATAAAAACCCTAAAAGCACTAAAAACAATAAAAACAGGAAAAACAATAAAAAACAATAAAACCAATAAAAACTAAATCCAATAAAACAAAAAATCAATAAAAACAAAAACAATAAAACAACAACAACAACAACAACAACAACAAAAAACTAAACCCAATGAAAACCAATAAAAAACCAATAAAAACCAATAAAACCAATAAAAAACCAATAAAAAAATAAAAACAATAAAAATAATAAAAGCATTTAAAAACAATTAAACCAATTAAAAAAAAAGGATGGAGACAGCTGTGGGGAGTGTGGTTTGATGTACATGGCTGGGAAAGATGAGGGCAGTGAACGTGGTGCTGGATCAGGCCACTCTTCCCCTACCTCCATTTGGCAGCAGCTCCTGGCATGTGTGTTCTGAGTCAGCACAGCCCAAGGGTGAATCCCCTGGCACTGGCCAAGTCAACCACGGAGCAATAAACATTTTTCCATCCCCAGCAATTTCCTGGTCCATGAAACTGCCCCCACTTCACTGGGGCAGCAAACTGGGCCACACAAGGGAAGCCCATGGAGGCAAAGCTGGGGAAGGGAATTGCCATGGAAGCAAACAAAGGTCACAGTGTTACTATGTGCTAAAGGACTCAAAATATCAAAAATCCCAAGCAGATAAATACCCAAATCATTAATTTCTGTATATTTACTGGGCCAAGTGCCTCCCTGGTATAAGTGCAGCATTTGTAAGGCAGCAAGGATGGGTTTAGTCCAGTGTGTTTAGATTCTCCATTATTTATACCAGATGCTTGGGGTTTTGTTTTCCTTAATGGATAATAAGGGTCATCCCAAACAGAGTTGTTACTTTGTCTGGGTTTCATTGAAAGAGACACTACTAAAGGGAGAGGAAATCCCCAAAATGATACTTGGTGATTAAGCACATAGAATATAGGATTTCAGTGTTTGCAAATCCTTTTTTTCAAATGAACTTGTGGCACTAATCCTCTAATGGCATTATTTCTTTGGAATATATGCTGGATTAAGGAGTCACAATGAGGCAAAGTACAAAAATCCACATTAATCTCTCACTGATGGATGCTGTGTGGGATGCAACTTTAACTGTTTTGTTCCAAAATTGGTTCTGTTCCTAACCTTGCCCTAGGCCTAGACAGAGGGCAGAGTGGACATAAACAAGTGTGACACTGAGCACCCGGCAGATGGTCACAGACATTTAACTGGATAGAGAGGGGAAGGCATTTATTATTTTTAAACTCCAAAAGCTCAGCCTGTCCCACGCTGCCCGTGACGTGCTGCAGGAAGCAGACACAGGTCTGGGAGGCAGGAGCAGGACACCTGCTCAGAAGTGTGTCACGGAGGAGACAGACACAGCAGATAACAGGGCCTGGCTGGGCCTGGCTGTCATGATAAATCGTGTGTTACAGCACAGCCTGCTCGTGTTTGCAGCCCGGTGCAGCCACCTCACTCTCATTAACTGCTTTGTTTTGGGGTAACCCCGTTGTCCCCTCTTCCCTCACAGCTGATGTAAAAAAGGTAAAGATTTGCTTTCTACGAAGAGGAGACACTGTGAAACTGCATTTCCCTTCTCACTGAATTACAGGCAGTCTGTGAGGTATTGTCACTGTCACTCAGCAGCCTCCAGTGATGAAAGAGTTTCTGCACGGGCAGCACATCACCTGAAACACTGATGTCAGATTGTGTGAGTTAGCACAGCCCAACCACTGTAATTGGTGCTTAACTTGCTTAAGGATTTCCCCAGTTTCAGGGGATAGAGGTTATCAAATATTCCCATTCCACATTCTGATTGAATTGCAGTGGGCACTGAATGTCTTGGGCCAGAAGAACCTGGCACGTGTTCAAAAATACAGGTTGCTTTGTCCCTGCTTCATCCCTGGTCACTCCGTTGTTAAGCACAAGTAAAGAGCTGCCAAATCCAACAAGTTCTTTACTGACACAAGTGATTGGGATTTTCCATAGTTTTTGTAGCTGAGATGCCTGAACTTGTGAAGTTAAATAGCACACAGAGAGTGATCCTTCCCAGTGGATACAGGTTTGTAGTGAGATGCTAGTTTCAGAAACTAGGACAGGACAGCCACTGCTGGTGTCAGAAAACCCTAAAACCAGCTTGGAGATCCTTTCTGTTCAGGAATAGAAATGTGCCCTCCAGTCCTGCAGGGAAAGATGGTTGATCACAGCGGGTTTGTGCATTTTTCCCTGGTGTAAATGTTCCCCAGTGTGACACTTCTCATGGGCATGATGTTCACTCTTAAGTTTTTCTGTTCTTAATCTTATCCTTTGGGTCCTTGTGCCTTATTCCACCCTGTGGGAATCATTAGTGCATTGACACACCGAGTCAGGCCTGTCCTCAGGGCTGGTGTCTGCTCAGCTGCTTGCAATGGAATCATTAGTTTTGTTTACCAGCTTTATCATTCCCCACCAAAACCACTCCAGTTCCCATATGTCTTTAGTGTGCACATATCCATGGATGGCCTCTTGTGTTTAAGGAAGTATAAATTATATTGCAACAGGTGCAGACAAAGGTGAGCAGGAAATGATAAGGGAAGTTGAGAGTTTGCCACATGAGGGGAGACGAGAAGAGTCTGGCTGGTTTAGCCCACAGAAGGGAAGACCTCACAGATTGAAAAGGATTATCAAGGCTAAAGAGATTCAGCATAAATGGCCATTATATGGTTAAGACAGGAATTGTAAGGTTCTCCATTGTGGAAATCAGACTTTAGGGCAGACAGACAACAAAGAGATATAATGAAGTTTGAGGCAATATAGGGTGTGTCCAATGACTGCATTGTAATGTTGTATCATCATGTTACCCACAAGCAGATTGCAGTGGATGATGCAGTGTGACCTCCTCCCGTGTCTCCTGTTGCCCCAAAATGAACAGGAGTGCCTGGTCCTCTGTATCCCTTTTCCTTACTGAACTGTGCAATATCCTGCTGATGGCAGGGGTCTGCTCAGCCCCCAGCACTATTTCTGACCAGTATGGACAAAAGGGGTGGGAAAACAAAGATCTTTTCTTCAGGTAGTCTTGTAACCTGATCTATAGGGTGACTCAGCCCCTTCGAACAACAGCTGTCTCAGGGAGGTACAGTGCTTTGGGTGCAGCATCGAGGGCTGTGCTGCCACTTCCTGATTTCCGCCTTGAGAGTGATCTCAGCTGGGACATGATCAGAGAATTTACATGGACTTCTCAACCCTCCCCAGAAAAGAGAGGCCAGGCACAGCAGACTGACTTTGGGATACAGTGCAAAGGAACAGAGGCATTGAGGAAGAGCCCACACACGGCTTGTGCAGAGCTGCTGCTGTCAAACTGATGAAGGCAGAAACTTGTGAGAGAAAACTACGTGGAAAGTTCCTCTTAAGGAGAGGAGTGGGGTTTTGTTTGCATGTCATGGCTCACCTCTCCTGCAAGCCCTGAAAGTGCTGTGAAACGTGAAAGGGATTCTCAGGAGAACCAATGGAGAAGACAGGTATGTTCTTTGTCTAAAATAATACTACTCTACAGCATGAAATCACAGCCAGGGTAAGCAGGATTGCTCTGCAGCTCAGGATCTGTGCATGTACATCTTGGTATATTGGTTTGTATCAGCTCTGTATTTATAAAAAATACAACTGTGTCAACATATTAAGAGTCAGACTTTAAACAGTGCACCAGCTTTTTGTAACTGTAAGTGCTCTGCCCTTGAAAACTTGTATTATGGCAGAAAAATTCCAACACAATGAGAAAATGTACATACATATATGCACATCTGTATATATATACTCACATTTTTAAATACATGCACACAAAGTATATGTGTTCTGTTATTAGCATGAAGGCAATGGTGGTGAATTCTCAGTGCCATTATGAAAGAAGGTAAGCAAGAGTGAACTTTACAAAAGCTAATTCTATGTCTGCTGATCCCCTGAAAGATGACATGCTGAACTGCCAGGATAAGCAGGAAGAGGACACCCCAAACAGTTCCCCGTTTGACTTTGTTATAAAACAGTTCCAAGGAAAGAGCTGTGCTCCTGAAAAAAGGAAAGAGCAGCCTTCAGCCATCAAAAAATTCTTCAGGGGCTTTGACTTTGGGAAATCTGAAGGCAAGGAGAGAAGGGAAATTGAAGAAAAAGAAATAAACAACTCTGGAGCTGATGATCAGAGTGAGAAGGAAGATCTCTCTGTAGAAGGTAATGCTGGTACAATAATGAAATATATGTGCATGTGTATATATTTTAATTTCATAGAAAGTCAATTGCTGTTTTTGCTAGCCAAAATCCTGTATTTGCTCCTCACAGCTTATCTTTTAATCAGGATTTACTTCTGATTGGAACATTATCAAGGATGTACCCTCTAATTTGATAGGTGCCAAGCAAGGAGTAAGATCCATGTTGCTGAGGAGGGATAAAGCTTTTGGGTGACCTCTCCCTTGGTCTCCCATGCGAGAAGTCAGGGCTGAAGTCAGCTCATTAGTTGCAGAGCTTATTTGGTTTCCGAGCCAAGCTTTAAGCAGCAGCTTGGCTTGTTGTATTTAGGATGGGTCTCTGTCCGCCCTGCTGCTAAAGCAATCTGAAGACAAGAAGAGGAGGTGTTTCCTTCCACTTGAAACTGGGGAGGGGAAGGGAAAGCGAATGGGAGTTCATCACGTATGTTATTTTGCACACACAAGAATACTCTTTACAATCACACCAGGGAAAATGAGGCTATTTTTAAAAAGGAGCTGGAAGATGAGGCTCAGAATTCCATCCTTGGTCCTAAGGATTTTTAGTCAGTTTGGGGAAACAGTGACAGGACAGCTCCTGAGAGTGGGATTGCTATTTTGTGTAATTTTTGGCTGCTTTTTTTTCCTCTGTAGGCATTAGATGAAATTACTGATGTGTTAAAGGGTTTAGCATTGCATGTAAATGCAATTTTCCTTGCTGTACAAATTGCATAGAAGAAGGAGGTAAGTGGATGTTGCTTTGCAAAGCCCAGAAAAGCAGGAACTCCCTTACACAGATGATGTATGAAGCTGAACACGGGTTGTCATGAAGGAAGCAGCAGGTTCACCACACAGTTGCAGGGCCACTGGGTGCTGAGGGATCCAGCTCAGATTGCTGAGCAGTGTGGCTGCAGTGCAGGCACAGCAGTGGTAACACAGCTTGTGTTTCCCAAATAGCTGCAGCTCAGAGCTGTGCATGAATTTCATGTCCTTGAACTGGTGGTGCAGTTCCAAACATCCGAAGTCACTGGCACAAGGCAGTGCAGAGAGATGCAACGGGAGATTCTTTTCTCACTCTGCATCAGGAGCTTTGTAGTGATTTGATCTATAGTGATCTCACCATTCAGGTCAAGATTAATCAAAATCAGAGCCTGGTTTACTGACAGATCTAATTCATTTTCTGAAGTCTTCCCATGGCAGCCTCAGGCAGGTTTTACAGCTTTTTTAAGTACCAGAGGTAACCAGGGCCCTATTTCTCTGTTGCTCAGATGGACACTCACATCTCATTTCTGAAGCGGAGTCCCCATCTGGTGAGCAGAGATTTAACCAGTTCATGCAGAAACTGGGAAAGAAACCCAACAGCAAGAATCTTGATCTAAATCATTGTGCATTAAGTGAAGAAGATGTAACAGAGCTGGGTAAATAAACATTTTATTCAACCAATCACTTCATACCCTTCTTTAATTCTTAATTGCCTGTTCAGTTATTCACTCTTCTCTTTTCCTTCCCCTTTCTTTTATATAGGCCTGGCTTTTTTTAACATTTTATCTAGTGGTCCCAGAGAAATATTAATTAATAAATTATATAAATGATGTAATATATATAAATATAAAAATCATACAGGTCTGTGAAGCAGATGAATGTCCTTACACTCAAACTACAGATAAGAAAACTGAGGTACAAATTGTCATGGCTTTATAATGCTTTATTGGAACAGAAAACACCTCAGTATTAATATGTGTTGACATCCAGAGGGTGCAGAAACATGCAAATATGCCTTTTCTTTTCTTTTCTTGCAGCTTCTTTACTGCCATTTCTCCCAGAGCTGGAAGAGATCAGCCTGTCCTGGAATGGTTGTGTTGGTGGGACTTTGAAGGCTCTCACTGTCCATCTTCATCATGTGAACCTGTTAAAAGTCCTTCGACTTAACAACTGCAGGCTGACAGCTGAGGATGTCATCTCCTTAGGTACAGGATTTCATTTACATTTACTTCCAGACAGCTTGGGGCTAATGTAATCCATCTCATCTCTTCCTACATCCCACTCCTGCTGCTTCCACACTGGGCAGTGTCAACTCCTGCTGTGAAACAGTAGAAACTTGGGCTTATGGGTGACCTTATACCCTAAGGTACCTCTGCCAAGTTTGTTCCTCAGGGTGTGAAGCTTTCACACTCAGAAGGGAACAGAATTCAGTCCTGTTTGCAGGAAAGCATGTTTGCAACTTAGATCAGTATTTTTTTGGCTAGCTGTGATATCTAATTGTAGATAGAAGACCTGAAGCAGAGTCAGTCAGAGTAGGGTCAGCTCAGGTCTTCAAGCTGCAGGACAGATGAGTGCTCATCACAAAAACCCCAATGGTCTTTTGGAGGAGAAAAAACAGAAGTGCTGCCTCAAAACTTCATGACTTGGGTTTTTTTCAAGTCTGAGAGAAGCCCATCCCTCTGATTACTACTTTCCTTGGAGTACCTGCACCCTGCTTTCTGCAAGACATGAGATTTAAAGGTTATAAAGATGGTATTACACACTTAGGTTCTGACACTGAGTCACCTCTGGGCCTCGAGTTTACTCTGGGGTGGATCTGTGGTTTGTATCTAAAAGAAGGACAAACTCAATCAACTGTGGATTATAAAAGTTACTGTTTATTTTGCAGGTTCTAAAACTGGTCTGAGTTTAAAAGCTGGTGTTTGTTTATGTCATTCATATCCAAGGCTTTTCCAAGAAAGGTTCAGAAATAAAATTACATATATGTTGGTAGCTCAAAAGCAGGTCATGCTATCTGCTGGGGAGGAAAAACGCATTTCTCCGAAAGCTGGTGAAAATAATTGATCTATTTCTGATGAGGGTAAAATCTGTGTTTTATTTTCTATTATTTTTTCAAATTAATTCTTTTTCAAACCCTTTTCTCATACTGTTTTTTCCTTTTGAATTTTATTTGCTATATTTCCAATTGATTTATTCTGCAGGGTTCTGTGCTGTTTCCTTCCCCTATCTGTTTATCCTCTGCTGAGATAAACACAAAACTGATCACAGGACTTGAATTTCCAGTCCAAATGTGATGCCCTTGACGTGGGGAATAACAACAGTCAGTTTGCATTGATTTTGCCTGCAATTTTGAAAATAACTCGTGTATTTAGGCCAATATTGACTGTTTGACCTTGTCCACATCTGTCTGAGGAAATGTGACCTCTTGTGGATTCAGTGCATTCTGCTTAGAAATCAGTGTCTCAAATGTAACCATAATAACCTCTCCTATGAGATTGCTCAGAGCTGTGACTGTGTGAGGTGATAGGAAACCATTCCTGGAGTTATGGTCCTTTATTTATCTTCTGGGTGGAAAGTGTGTCTGGAATGCTTGTCCTAATGTCAAGCAGAAACAGGCTGTACTGCACTTCTCAACTGTACAGTTTGTTCAGTATTTAAGACTGAGGCAATAATTTAAAATAAATGCAAAAATAAAAATTAAGACAAATCCTTTTCTCTCAAACCTAAATATTCACTTACAGAAATAATTATTTTTCTATTATAAATCTTTTGTGAAGAATTAATTATGAAAACACACAGACATGAAAGGGTGTTACTATTAAAATACAGTGCTCAATTATTAGGTTGATGACAGGATTTTAGATCAAAAATTTTTGTGGGACACTTTGAAATTGCATTTGCATATGGTCTGATTAATTGATCTTTCTTGGGAATGAGTATATGCAAATATGCATCTGCCTCCCTCCTCTGCAAAGGAAGTTAGGAAGCTGGATTTTATAGTGGGATGTTAGTGTTTCAAAGAAGCACAGATCATGCTGGCAGATGCTTCAAGCCTGGAAAAGGCTGATTTTTCTGAATGTAATCAAGGTCAGTGCTGTCTGCCTTGAAATCATGGGAAAGTTAGTTCAAGTCAAAACAGTGATCATCTTGCTTTCTTATGAAGTGAGTCAGAAACTCCTGTCAGACATGAAACTTTCACATTTCAGAAATAGTAGTGCGAGGAATTCTTCCCTCCCCTCCAAAGTGACCTGTGGACACAGCACAGAGGATGTTGGAAGTTTGCCAAATAAAACACAGCAGAACTGTACAGGACAGTAAATTCAGACTCGTCACTTGTATTGATTTCCCTCTAGACTGGACTTTTTGGGTCCTGGCACAGGTCTACAACGATGTCCAACAGCCTGATGAGAGTTTGGGAATGTGAATAAATTTCAGGTCTTGTGTGTACTGTAACAATGACTTGTGATCTACCATGCTCCTTAGACAACGTGAGATTTTATACAACTTTGCTGCAGGAGCAACAATTCATTCAACAATTTTCCTAGCAAGACATTCAAAATAAAGTAATTTGAGAATTAAGTGGCTAACCTTCCTCTTTAATATATTTCAAACCTGTATTTTTGTTTGTACTGAAATTGATACCTAGAACGAATCATCCCTTATTTCTGTTACAGGAGAGGCATTTGAAATTGTTTCTCAGCTTGAAGAACTGGATTTGTCATGGAACAGTAACATAGGTGGAAAACTATCACTGCTGACAAAAAAATTCCAGAAAGGATGCAAGTTAAAATGTCTGAAAATTACAGACTGTAACCTGACGGCAAAGGATGGGGAATCCCTTGGTATGTGTGTCCATCTAGCTGGACTGAGACTGGCTTCACAAGAATGGAGCTTGTTTGACTTCATTAATGGCTGTATGGGGCTCAATATTGGTGGAAAGTTAATTTATTTCAAACTCTGCATTATAACAGTGTTTACGACACAATGTGGGGATTTAATGCACTTTCTTCCAAAGAAGAAAGTTGTTTTCTCTAATCATGTGAGGGAATGTTGAGGAGAACAATTAGATCTAAATCACAGTCTGGCAGCCTCTGTGGTCCAGGGGTGCTGGATCCTTTGAGACCTTGAGCAAAAGAAGTGTGCCAGAATTTCCAGCACTGATTGCTTAAAATTAAGCAGCTGAATATGTAGTTATCCATGAGATGGGAAAAAAAGCCTTAGAGTTGGGAATTTAGGCTGAGCTGGCAACCACTGACCACTCCTCCCATCTGTCTCTCACCACAGTTTAGTCTTGTGTGGTCTTTTTATCTGAGTTTGTGTTTTCAAAGGTGTTTTCTCTGTAAAGAGAAGCCTTTGTGCTCTCATCTCCACTGCAGGAGGAGCCCCACATGTAACCTACAATACTCTATATTTTCTCTTTGTATTTCTGCTTTTTATTCTCCTCTGTTTTTATAACTGTCCATGTATTTTTTCACCTTTATTTTCATAGAGATTTTTCACTAATTTTTCTTGATTCCTATCCAATCTTTATTTTGCTGTATTTTGGAGAGAGAACAGGAACTTAGCAAGCCTAAACTACATGTACAGGCAAACCCAGCCCACTTCTTTCTGTCATGGTGCTGTATTTTTCTAGGGTTCATCTGTATGTACTCCAGACAATTACCAATTCTGGTTTTCCTTTCTTTTTTCTTTTTTCCCCCAGCTGAATTTCTAAATGTGATCCCAAACCTCGAAGTATTAGATCTCTCTATCAACAAACACATCGGCTGCAGCATGAAGGTTATGGCTCAGGATCTGAAAAACGTGCCAGGCTTGAAAGAGTTAAACTTGCACATGTGTGGATTAAAGCAAGACAGCCTCCAGGGCTTAGGTTAGACTTTATGTTCAGAAAGACTTTAATTCTGAATAAACTGTACATCTGAAAGCCATTTAGGAAAGGCAATGAGGTGGGATTTTGCTGATGTTTTGGCAGCATTAATGGGCAGTCATTATTTGCTGTTTGAGGATTGATAAAAGACTACAGAGGCTTTCAGCAGGAGTCACATTTATCTGCCCTGAGCTCAAGCATGTGAAAGTCAACGGGGAGAGTCACCCTCCACACCATTTATCTGAGACACATCTCAGGCTTGATTAGTGGCTCTCTGGACATGCTTCCTCTTTCCCCAAACAGAACATAGACAAGGACACAGACAGGCCAGCTCACTTTTAACAAGATAATCCTACTCTCCCAGGGAAATCCAAATTCACCATTATCACTTAGAGAGTGCCCAGTGAAGCCGTATGAAATGGGCTTGTTATCTGTGTCTCTCCCTAGTGGATGTCTCATGGATAAGGCAAAACAACTGGCATTAATTAGCACATCCATCAGCAGTTCCTGCAAAAGGCTGAGGATTGAATGGATTTGGGGGATGAGCTGGCCTCACCTTCACCTGCTCCTTCAGAGAGGAATGGAGCTGCATGGATGGGGAAGCTTTGCTGTATTACTGTATGTCTGCTGTGATTACACTCTGAAGCTTAGTCTAAGAGCTTTGCCTGCAATACCTTGTGCAAACTTTGACGCTGAAGTAAATAAATGCCCAAGCTGTGACCTGGGCTGTTGTAGCAGCCAGTGACCAGCTTGCCCCCTCTCCCGTTTCAGACACTGCTTTGCAGCACCTCACAGAGCTGAGGAAATTAGACATATCGTGTAACAGAGAGATTGGTGGTGGCTTTAAAGACTCAACAGCTCATCTGGCCAGCTTGAAAAATCTGGAAGTTCTTGATCTTCACCAGTGCTGCATCACAGAAGAGGACATGACCGTTTTGTGTAAGGACGTGTTGAGGAAATTCATTAAGAATCCAGGTTTTGACTTCTGAAAATATCTCAAAGACGTAAGGAATTCTGCCTGGCAGAATAGCTGATCTCAGTACTTTTTTCATTAGGCAGTGTAGGGAAACAGCTTTCTTGATCAATATGGAGTGGTATCTTTGCTGAACCAAAGGAAATCTCAGAGTATCTGATCTCACATGGAATTAAGGACCTGAATCCACCATAATTCAGACCCACAATGGGAATGTGGGAACTGCCTCTAAGCACTGCTTTTTTTGATAATCAGTAATTTTGAAAATACCCAGGGACAGTTCCTCCACTTCCATGAATTAGATAGATCCAAGGTGTGTATATGCATGGAAATGTAGCTGCCTAAAACTCTCCTGGTGAAGCGCACACTGAGTAGAGAATGATTTTAGGAGTTCTGGCATTGCTGCTGCTGTGGCTTTCTCCAGGTTGAATTGATCCAACTATAAGTGCTATTGGGAAGAAAAAGGCATTTTCCAATCAATCTGTAAAACAGTTTATTTTTATGTTTGCATTATCATAACTTTTTGACATTTGTTTTTACCCTTAACAACAACAAAATGCCATGACTCAAAGTCTATATTGCCCACATCTTCTTTTCCACAATAAAGAAGATTATTTGAAAAGTTGCCTATTAAGCATTGGGAAATATTCATTATTAGTAATAGCAATCATGATTTATTTTTAATTTATTGAATAATAGATAATAATAATAATAATATTAAGATGAAGTTTCAGTTAGCAATGAAGACATTTGGAAATAACCCCCATCTCATTTAATGTTTAATTAATGTTTCTTCACCTAGAAAATTTCCTGGAAGCCACATTCTGACAACTTTCCAAACAGTATGGAATACTTAATTTCTTGAACATTCTTACTGAAAATGACAAGGCTGTTTATGGACTAAAATATTACTCACCACGAATTTGAGTGTAAAAACTTGGCCTTGCCTTGACTTTTGGATTCACTTACAAAGAAAAGAAATTATACCAGGCAAATATACAACTACACATTTGTTGTGGATAGGTGACTGTCTAATAAATATTTGATGTTTTCATAGCCCAGGTGATACCTTTACTCTCCAATCTTCAAGAGCTGAATTTATCCTCGAATAAAAGTGTAGGAGTCTCATCTGATCCTCTTCTGGGCCGGCTCAGGTTTTTGCCGAAGCTGAAATCTGTGGCCATCAGCAACTGTGGTTTAGGTGAAGACTCACTTTCATCACTAGGTAGGAACATTCTTTAAAGTGTGTCTATTCTCTGGGTATCCCTGTGGGACAAAGCACTTCATTCTCCTTTGGCTGAACTCCAAGGATCATGGTTACATTGTACCACAGGTCCGTAGGGAAAAAGCCTGCGGTCAAACCAGTTCCCCCTCTATATCTGACTGGCTGAAGCCCTTTTAGTCCTTTGTCTGATAGTGAGCTTTTATATATTGCCTAATTTGGGAGGATAAAGGAACACATGGTTTTATGTTATGCTGTAATTATAGTTGGGATGTAACACTTCATTTGCAGTTTAGTGGGGTAAAGTTTTGACTGAGGGTTTTCCACCTCACTGAAGGTGAAAGCTTCAGTAGAAACTTTCTGGGGTAGAGTGAAGCCTGGGGCAAAAGAGGAAATTACTGCAGGAGTGGAAAAGATATTGCACAGCCATAAAGAAAAGTCCAGTCTAACATAGGATATGTAAATTCAGCCTCTTTTGCCTACTTATTGCAAATCTCAGTGGATTAGTGGCTACACTGTGCCTGTGATAGGTGTTCCATATGGCACATGAAATCTAAATACAGAGGGATCTCTCAGTTACTGTGTATGGTTCACTTACATTTTGTACTGTTTACTACTGACATTAAACCTGTAGTAAGTCTTGACTGCCTCCAGCAGAAGCAGAGGCAATCAAAACTGGTCTGAGGTCCCTGCAGGAGGAGTACTATATTTATATCATTACAATTATGTAAGAGTGACACCATAGAAATCAGTGTTGTCAGAAGATACAGAGCATTTCACCTTAAATAGTGAGTTCGCAGGAAAAAAATACTGTCTGAATTAATATAAAATGATTTAAAAGCAAGCTGTTAAATTATATTAATTCAGTGGGACAAGGACAAGCCAATAACATGAATAGAAACACAATAAACCCCTCCACAGATTCTGTGTAGAATCTATAGGCAGGCCTTTCTTATTTTCTTTTGTCTGACTTTTATTAGGATAAAAGAAGTCACTCTAAGCACAGCTTGTTGGGATCCTACTTACAGGTGAATTGCAGGTGAGGTGTCTGTTGAGGCCGTGTTGTTTTCTCTTAGTAAGCAGAAGTTGCTGGTCTTAATCTTTTCAGCTGAGGCTGCCCTTCACCTTCCTGAACTGGAGATATTAGACCTTTCTTGGAATAAGTGCGTTGGTGGGAACCTAAAGCTGCTTTTGGGAGCACTAAAGCTTGCAGCAGAGATTCAAGTGTTAAGACTGAGCAGCTGTAACTTGGTGGCTGAAGATTTGGCACTTCTAAGTACGTATAACACGGTATTTACCTGCAGTCCAGGCATTTAGACCACAATTCAGGAGGGGCTTGTTCCTTGGGCTGAGCACGTTTTCGCATAAATCAAAGGAAAAGATGGAAAACACAGCAGTATTTTCCCAGAAAGAGTTGTCATCTTGTATGTCCTGTACACGTTCAGTGCAAAAGCTGGAAAGGATAAAATACAAAGAATATTTTAGCACTTTTATCTATTAATAAAAAAAACCACCAAACACAGAAAATGTAGGGTTTAAATATCTTTTTTTTATATCAGATATTTAAAGATGCCTCTGGGGACATTTTATTTTGCTCAATTTCTGTTTTAGGGTTCACTACTTTATAGAAAATGTATGTGCTGACAGCCAGTAACACAAGCACTACCAGCTCTCAATCCATTAGGTGTGTTCTGGAGTCAGACTACTGGGGGAGAATTAAAACAGAAATATTTTCACCCACCTCTTAGCAGCTGCTGGGAAATACAGGAAAATGGGAACATGATAAAGGAATGAATTCTAGGATTCTTTTAAAAACTTGTTCATTTTATACTCATCTTTGTGTTCTGTGGCCCTGACTCAGGGGTTTGGCAGTAGCTGTGTGACAGCTATTAAGGCCCTGGAATGTGAAATCTGGTGAGATGAAGCCGGAATATTTTTGACTTTAAAACCCATCACCCTTGATGGGTGTCTCCTTTACCAATCACATGTTAAGGACCCCAGTTCCCTTTAGGGTATATTAGGCCCTCCCACAGTGAGAGGTTGCTATTGCAGCAATCCAACCTCATCTAGTTTTGCTTTCCTCTTCCTAAATCTCCCTGTAAAACCTGTCTGCCTATTTTAATTGGCACTTGGTATAACCTCCCTCCAACTGACTCCAGTGTTTTCAGGGTGCCATACCCTTTTAACTCAACAGTTCCATTCCTTTGGAATTACCCATGTTTAAAGTGGTGTACACTCCTTCAGCTGTGAAGAAACGGTCTTTCTGAGATCAGCAGCAAGTCATTTTATGTTGCTGAGGAGCTCAATCTTGCTGTTTGACTGCTGAAAAGCCTTAAATAATAAGGTATTAAAATACTGCTCTCCTTTCTGAGGAGCTTTTAAAGCAATTGCCAGGATTTATTAGTTGTGTTTGTGTCTGTCATCTCTTGCAGCATCACTGACACAGGATGGCCATCTCTCCAGATTGCAGAAGCTGGATCTGAGTTACAATGACAGCATCTCTGATGCAGGGTGGGCTGTTTTCTGTCAGGGTTTAGCAGTATCCAAGGAACTCTCGGAGCTGGATCTCAGCCTCCGCCCGTCATCCTGCCGGGACTGCGGGACGTGGTTCAGTGAGTTGTTGGCAGCACTGGCACAGCTCCCTGCCCTGGCAGAGCTGGGCATGCAGAGATGGGTCCTTTCAGAACCCCAGAGGAAACAACTGGAAAACTTTAATCACGACAACAAAAGAAACATTCGCTTTGACTGTTGATGGAGGCGGAAGGTTTCTGGGAGGCCTTTCATGAGCAGCACATGGACCAAGTGTTATGTGTCTCTCACTTAGGAGACTACACAGTTTTTAATAATCTCTTGAAATAGTTTCACAGTTATAGAAAACTGTTATTTAACCCTCTGCATCATAGATCATTCTATTTAATAACCTATTCTTTGAGATTCTCTGGGCCATGCTTACACTGCTATAGGCACTTAATCTTCATGGTGCAGTGGGTAGTGCCCAAAGAGCAGTGCTGGACTCAGATGGACACACTGCAGGTTTGCCAGGGAAGTGGAGGGGATGTGTGTTAATGCAGGTGGGTGGGCAGCGTGAATGTGGCCTCAGAAAATGCCTCTAATGTGAAAATACTTGAAACCTCTGTGTTTTAAATTTTAGTTTCTTCTCCCCCAAAAGTTTTGCCTCTTCGTGAACAAATTAAATCTACATAATTGGGAGATTTGGAAACCATCCCAACAACTAAGCATTATATATTAGTCCAGTAAGGAGAATACAGGAGGAGCTGTTTTGCCTCTGCTCTGGTCCTTGATGCCATCTTGTAGTGTAGATGAGTCCTGTGTACAGAATCAACATAAAATCAAGGTAAGAAACAGTTGTTCAGTGTCTTTGCAGGTCTCAGGGGCAAGGGAAATGCTGTGGTACACTAAATCAGAGATATGTCCTGCTACTTTAGCAGGATTTTGGACACAGATCAATCCATAATCATTCTGGCTAAGACTATGTAAAAATTTCAGGATACTTGAGGGATGTTCCTTCTCATCTTGAGCTGTTTCAGGCTTACCCAGACTAAGCTTTTGGAACAGATCATTTTATGACATGCAGCACAAAACCAAAATTCCATGTCTAAGAGACTGATCTAGAGCATATGAAAGCCAGTGGGAGTCCCTGCAGTGTCTTCGTGCTTCCTGCATTCAGGATTCATCCATCAACCTTCACACCACCTTGTGACATAATGTTCTTATCCTTACCCTAGAGATGAAGGAAATAAGCAAAGTCTATTATTCCAAGCCATAGGGCAGCTCCCAGGGAGAACCCAACACCCTACTCAGTGCCCAAGACTTGTTAGAAAAAGCACTAACTTGGGATGTGTAACCAGCTCCTTTTTAATGTGATAATTACTTTTTTTTTTTTTTACATTTTATTGCATTTTCTTACACAGAGCCAAATTCTGGCAGTCATTCGTGTCATGGAGCATGTTAACCCACACGTGAGCTCCAAGACTGCAGTGGGATTATTCATCGGTAAGGTATTTTAGGAAGTAAAGATATTAGATCTGCCCACTGAGTGAGGAGTCTTAGAGAAATCCTGAGGCAGCTTGAGGGATAAAGTTCTGCTCAATTAGCTCTGAGTATCTCTACATGCTGCAGCAACCTCCTGGAGGAGAGGCACAACAGGATCAGCCAGTGGCACTTTCCTAACTTGCTAAGGCCTCTCTCACCAGATTCTGTCCTGCAGATGCTGATCAGTATTCACCTTTCAGTCCACGTGATCCTTCCAACATCAGCTTCTGGCTGGTCAGGGCTATCACCAGCAGCTGACAATGCTGTGCTGATGCCTATTGATCATTTAATCCATGACTTCATGTGAAAGTCTCCCTGGATCCAGTTCCACTTGAAAAGCGCACTTGGCTTCCCCAGCTCTGAGAAATGTGAGTTGAACTGGAGTGTCTTGGTCAGAGGCAGCAGGGAATTGCTGCAGTGTGGGATCAGTTACTTCCTACACAGACCCTCAGCCTCTGAAATGAACCAAAGAGCTCCTGTTTCTTACAGGACTGATGAGAGACTTTGAAGCAGTGGCTTACGACAGGACATGTGGAAGTACCATCATCTCTGTTTAACAGCAGCACACCAACCATTTCTCTTAATTACTTGCCTTCCTGTGACTTTCCTCCCCAGATATGCCTTTGGTTCAACTGGGAAATTGATCCTTTATCTGTTCTGTGAGGATGTCTCTTAATCATCCCTTTCCCACTTAAACCTCTCTCTCCAATTAATCTTTAACATCCAGATTCTGTTGAAATCTTTCTGGACTTCAGTGTTGGGGTTTCTTACTCTGTCATAGCTGGGTTCTCAGCTCCAGAGCACATTATGGACCCACTGCAGCAAACTCTCCCCTTGCTGTTCCTGATCCCCTGCTCAGTCTTTTGGCCTCTCATGATTCTGTCATACCTACTGTGCCACTAAAAAGCTTTTATTCCTTTTATCACCTCTATTAAATGTCCTATCTATCTGCCAGTCTTCCCAAAATTCTCTCTTCCAGTGATTTTCTCTAAATTATCTTTCTCTCTGTTCCTCTTTGCCTTCACTTAGGGTGAAAAAATTTCACCAGACATCTCCAAACAATCAAAGCAGCCTCAATCAAAGCAGTGAAATGGAAAATCAGAACAGAGCCGTCCCACTTTCCTGCAGTCCCAGCTCTCTCCTGCCAACAAGCATATTAATGAGATTTCAGTATCAATCAAGAGCCAAACAGAAATTAGTTCCATACCCTGGATGCAGATTCAGAGAGATGCAACTCTAGGAAGAGCTGGTCTCAGTGACCTGCCTTCACCACCTCCTTCAGGATGCACAACCTTCCCTCAGGCAACTCAGACAAGGGGAGGGAGAGCAGTTCTGACCAGCTAGTTAAACCAAATAAAGGGTTCTGCTCCCACCCACTCTGCATTTTGAACCTGCACAGTGGCAGGTCCCACACAGCTCTGTGCTCTGTATATGCTGCAAATAAAACTCTGGAGGGGGTTAAGGAGTAACCGAGTAACACAGAGTAAGAACTAGACAAGGACATCAGATGTCTGGGACAAACAGCTCTCTATAAAGTGCTGTGGAAAGATGTGGTTGCAGATAAATTTGGCATGCAAGAATTACAGTGAGGAGTGTTTGTCATGGTTCTTTTGAATAACAAAGATGTTATGATGTGCCAGAACCAAAATCAGAGCAGAATATTGTATCCTGCAGACTCACTGCTTTCATATAAATCTGTCACACAGGCATTTCACAAACTGTCACCGAGCCATCTTGGGGAAGAGATGCACCACTGAGGATGTGACAGCTTGCAGTCATTCAAAATGCTGTAACTGCAGATTGTCAAAACAGCAGTGAACAGTTTTGCAAAAGTGTGGAGATACTTTCAAAACAGCTTTTTACACCTCTGTAAGGCAGGATGGTAATGCAGGTTCTGGTGGAAGTGTGTGTGTTCTGACTGCCTGGAATCGTACTCTGTATTTCCAAACAAGGAACTGATCATTTCTATAGAAAAACTCGTTAAACAACTGCTGGTAGTTGGGGCCACAGATATTGTTTCACTGTAAATATGTTTGTACCTCACTGACTGGCAAACAGATTTCTAAGAATTGCAAGTGAAATACTTTGAGATTCAGAACAAATAACACTTCATTGCACCAGATTCCTACAGGTTAGACTGATTGCCAGATTAGATTGATTTCCACCTAATCATCTACCTTTATGATTAGAGATAACATGCATTCATAATGAGACATCTCAAGAACATTTCTGAGATTGCCTGGTTCAGCTGGGGTCAATGTGGACAAAAACACAAAATCAAACCTAAAAAAATTAATTTGTTTTCATTGTTCACACTCACTGATTCAGATGCTTTAATAGTACTTGTCTCCCACTTGCTTATCTCTGCTCGCATTTGTCCATCTTGTAAAAGAAAAGAGTTCTGTGCAGTTTACTGCCCAATTTTCACTTTTTTAATGGTCTTCTCTTTTTCTTTTCTTTTTTCCTTTCTTTCTTTTCCTTCTTTCTCTCTCTCTCTCTTTATTATTTTTTTTTATTAAATTATTAAGCATCAAGAAAGTTCCAATCCCTTTCTGGTTCATCAACCCACACCACAAACTTTGGATCTGAAAAAGAGAGAACAGTCCTGTTACCTGGAGGAAAAGGGTAAAAGCAAAAAGCCTTTTGGAATGGTGTCACTGATGTATATTCATGGTACAAAAAGCATTTTGTTCTTCAAAATCCCCTTTTATTCTGGATTAGACTACATTATTGGCAGCTAAGATGAACTGTCAGTCATCTGATTTTTCTCTTATTCTCTGTTTTATGTTTTTCAAGAGGAATTTCTTACCTAGGCGGACACTAGTCCCCCATACCTTTGATTAGAAAAGTAAATGACAATGTCTACACATCTTTAAATGTCAATTTTTAGTTTGGAAGAATAGTTTGGGAAAAATAGCAGCTCACGAAGAAATTACAGAATTACAGAAAGAGAGGAATAATTTAGGTTTAAAAGAATCAAAGACTGAGGAATCACCTTTCCTTCATTATTGCCCTGTATTTTTTTTAATTCCATGTGACCCACTGATGATACAGAGCAATGTTCTTTTGGAAAAAGAAAAACAACAAACCAAACATAAAATCACACAAAGAAAAGTGTCTTGTTCAATATGTTTGCACAATGGATCTGCAAGTATCAATGAGCTGATGGCTGTGGGCAGGTACTGCAGACAATTATTCTCCATATGCAGTTCCTTCAGATTCTGGAAAATATGTGTGCAGAAGGTTTAGTAAGTAAAGGATTTTTCCTTAGCTTGGTATATAATATTAGCAAGTGCAGAAGTTTATAAACTGTGAAATTGTTGGAATTATTGCTAAACACAGAGAGGCAACATGAGTTTTAAACACTGATTTCTGATATTATTCCTATTCTGACAGCCCAGGCCTGGTGCTGCACCATGTACCTAAAGAGATTAGGAGACCCTTCGGTCCTGCATTTGGAAGCAGCTGAAGTTCATGGAATTTCCATGTTGCAGCAAACCAAGATCTTCCCCCTTCTCTTGCTCCTGCCTGCAATTTATTGATGACTTCTGGCAGAGTTCTGACTTTAATTCCTTTATCTTATCCCAGTTATAATCTCTGTAATGACTCCAGGAGAAAGACTTCCTCTGGAAAGATACTGGTTTTCAGGCAGGCTAAGGCATTTAAAACTTATCAGTTCCTTCACTTCCAGAGGTATCTAAACACAGTCATTAAAAAGATACATTATGTCAATTAAGCAGTAATCTTTGGGATTTTGTTTTTAGAGGAAAAAATCTCCCAAGAAAATGCTGTGGAGCTGCATTACGGTTGATGGATGAACACAGAATATTCTGCTCATTAATGTCACATTATACCTCACAGTATGGTGGAAATTTTGGCAAAGAAATCCATGTTGTTTCCTCTGCTGGAAAGATTTCTTATGGGGTTAATTTTATTTCTTAGCAGAAACATTAGTCTGCTTCTTCATTTCCTTTGTGTGCACAGTGCAGGGGAGAGCAATTCAAATGAATGAAATCTGAAAGTGAGTCTTTTGCATAAATTACTACTTTGGTGAATGTAACTTTCAAGAAGAAAATTGCACCAGTGAAAAAATCCTTCTTAGACGTGTTGCATTGTATAAAAAGGAAGGTGTATTCTGAGCCCTACAATGGGGATGTCCATGAATACTGTTACACTTATCATAGCACAGCTTTAGGGTGCATAATTGTTCATGATTAAATGAATAGCAAGTGTCAGTAGAGTTAAAGGCATTAACAATATCACATCCATTTTTAAATTGCCCTCTGCTCAGTTTGCAATATTGATTCTATGCAAATGCAGCTCTGATTTTCTAGTGCACACAGAAAAAAAGAAAAAGCTGCAGCAGTTCCTCCGGTCAGCGTTTCATCTTTTGATTCAACACAAAGGTCAGTGTGTCCACATTTTTGCCTTTTCCTCCCTGCCTGAGCGCTGAGATGTCAGTGATAATGAGTAACCCAGGCTCAGGTGTGTGCTGGGTGGAACTGCCTTCTCACTGTAGCAAGGAAAGGAGGCACTTGGAATGCTATGAAAGCAGTTTTCACTCAGATCTAGTATCCTGACACTGGTTAATCTGGTGAAGGACCCAGGTACAGCTCGTAGTCCCACAAAAACATGGGAAAGCAGCAGATGCGGTGTGGGAAATCCTCCAGGCTGCTCAGACAGTGAGCGCTCTCATTTCAGGGAGGTTCCTCAAACCTGGGAGAAGCTTTTGGGGGAAGCTGGGCTCCATTTCCCCTACACGGGTCTGCCTCGGGTGGGTGGAGCCCACGCCCTCCTGCTCACATGGGCAGTAGTGGAGGCACTGGGGGGATTTATTTGCTGGAAGGGGCCAGCACAAGCATCTTTGAAGTAGGGACTGATCCGTGTAACCACGAGCGGTTCTGCAAAGGCTCCTCGGAGGAGGGCAGAGCACCGACTCCGTGCTCTGAGGGTGAGGTGACGAACCTCCCCTGCCCTTCCCGCAGGTCTGAGCACCACTGGCATAGCCCAGCACCCACAGGGGCTCGGGGGGCTCCTGCAGGGCCCGGGGCTGCACAGAGCAACCCCCGCCCGCCCCTCCGGCTGCGGGCCGGGACCTCCTTGGAAACGGGCTCCGTTACCAAACATTGTTCCCCTCGGAGCAGCCTGGTTACCAAATTTACTCAGCGTGGGGCAGCGCTCGCCCTTGGCCGGTCCCCGCAGGTTGACGCGGGGAGAAGGAGCAGGAGGTCATGGCTCAGGTAAGGCCTGCAGGGCTGGGGGTTCATCTGCTGTACAGGGACCACTCCTCTGTTAGCTCAGCTCCTGTGCCACAGCAGGTCAGAAACACCCACCAATCCACGCTTTCCCCTCATGCTTTTCCTGCCTGTATCCGTTACCCCAGTGCTGCACACCGAGAGTTGTAACCCTTTGCAGACCGAGCCCGTTTTTACTGTTATGCAGATCCCAGCACAAAGCCCGCTCCTGGTGCTGTTGCTAAGCTGCCATAACGATGCAGTAACGCTTTGTTTTGTTTTCCGGCAGCACACGTCGGTTCGCCCAGATCTTCACCTGCACTATGTGCAGGCCTGTCAAAAATCGGGCCAGCCTGAAAACCCCTTCGTTGCTCATGTGCTTCAAGAAGCTGACAAAAATGATGAAATGTAAGGCAATAACAGCGTGTTTCAGACACTTCTGAAAGCCTTAAACAGGGTAGCAGGATGAGGAATTGAATGATGAGAAAGTTCTGCAGTTTCAGGCTTAAACACAAATCAAATTTAGCATTTACTGCTGAAGTTCTGGTTTGACTCATCTTGACATCATCTTGGCAGAAGTTTGTAGCTATATATCCTTTCTGGGCAGCTTTACAAGCAGTGAAAGAAAAAAAAAAAGGTAAAAAATGTACAAGATGGTGCCTTTCTGTCCCTTAAAAAAGCCAAACCCAGTGTCCAGTCATCCTAACTCCCTTCCTTTTGTCTTGCTCCTGTTTAAAAAGCCTCAGCTGCATCCAGTTAGCTTCCAGCTGGTCATGCTTCCCTGAGCTGTCTCTGAATCCTGCCAAGCTATTAACCACCCAAATTCTCTCTCATTATGTGGCTAGGTAGGGCTTTCTCTTGTGGATGCTGCTGGGGTCAAAGTTAATTTTCCTTTGGGGAAAAAAAAACCCAGAAAATAAAATGGTTTGTGTTAGGTTTTGATCCTGAGAGCAGGATGGAGTAAATAAAGCAAAGGGAACAATTAAAAAGAAGATGATGAGGTAACCTCTGGGATAATCTTTATTTCCATCTGCCTTCCCCTCATCTTGCTTATTCCTGCTTCCTGTGTAAGTGTGGTTCTTGCAGCTGTGCAGTGCCTTCAGAAAGGGCAGTGCTGAGGGACAGCTTGAATCACGTTATCTGTGCTGGTGTTACCAAAGGTGTATAACCATGTGCAAGCTCCTCAGTGAGGGCAAGCACAGCCACACCTCCTGTCTGGAGAGGCAACTCATTTCTCTGTGTCATTTTCCTTGTCCTCGTGAGCTTTACATTTTTATGTTGCAGTAGATGTACGAAAGGGATCACATTAAAAATAGCTGGAAATAATCACCCAGTGCCTGTGCAGAGAGTTACAGATGATGATCTCGGAGTTCTTGCCTCTGTCTTACGCCACGCTGCATTTGTCAAAGGTAGGGTTTTTCCATGAGTGTTTAACATTGCTGTGCTAATATAAGAAAACATGATCAGTCTTGATTTCAGTCTTAGTTCATCTTTGTTTCTTTTTCTTTAGAGATCAGTTAAATGTAGGTATGCATCTGTCACATTCCTCATTCTTCATCTTTTTCAGGTTTGGATCTTGCTTATAATGTATTGACTGATGATGGAGCAAAGACCATGGCAACATTCCTCCAGGTGCCAAAGTGATGGTTATCTTTCAGCAACTTGTAATTTATTTGGCCACGGAAATATTTATATGTGGTGTATTGGAGACAAGAATGCACTGGTTTGGCAAAATTCCATTGGTTTTGACTTTCACACCCCAATCCATCCTACTAGAATCTTGGGTTGTATTCTCTGTGGAGATTTTTAATTTCTGGTAGAAAGCCATTGGATATTTGGCTAGGGTGTCCCAAGGAAAGAATGGTGGAATAAGCTACAAGGCTTTTAGGCTTACAGTTCAAATCAACAGAGGGGATAATGGTTGTGTCAAGGGCCTTTGTTTTAGCTTCTTTATCACCTGTATTAGCCTTTTTGCAGGCCTAAACATAGGAAACTTTAATGCTGCCTTTTTATCATTGTAAACAACTGGAATACAGATGGAAAATGGTGAGTTGTCACCTGGTGCCTGTGTTCCTAGAGCTTGGGGGGTGCCATTAAGTTCACAAAATGCACTTGAGCTTGACCACGTGCCTCGTTAGGTCATGCTGAGCACATAGGATCCTGGGTGGTTCCTGTAGGCCCCATGAGGACCTCCACATACCTTTCCCTCATTGTCTGACATACTCTGGCATTCTTTAACTACTTTTCCAGGTCAGGGGCTGCCTGAAATGCAGCAAAGGACAGAGTTTTGTATGTGTATCCCCTTTCTGAAAAATACAGGTGTGGTTTGGAATAAACTCTCCTTGTTTCCTGCTCTGTTTGTTCCTAAGGAGAACTCCTCTCTGCAGTACCTGAACCTCATGTTTAATGACGTTGGCACAAGTGGGGCAGAGCTGATATCAGGAGCACTTCATGTGAGTGTTTGTCTGGGAGGTTTAGACAGTGGCATCTTGTTGGATATTTTTGCTTTTGATGACCAGTACTGGCTGTCCTGCCAACATCAGAGCTGGCTCAAAGGGGCATCTGTCCTTGCTCCATTCAGCATGTTGCTGTATCACAGGGATACAGCACAAGGTCTGCCTTGTTTTCCCAAGGCAGACCTCAGAAATCAGATTTCACACAGGTGAAAGTTGCACTGTGCTGCCATTAACACTTAATTATCTATAAAAACAATTGTCTATAAAACCCACAGCTACTGCAGTTGGATTTTTTTCTGTGTGAAAAATGCTAAGCTAAACAGAATGCCATCTGTTTTTTCCCTTTCTTTTTTCCCCCCAAAAAATTGTATTAAATTTGCTTGTACCTTCATGTCAATATTTATCTTGATTCAAGATGTCCGAGACATGTTTTCAAAACTTTGCTTTACAGCAGCAGCACAAACCCAAAGTTGTTATTTTTGATGTGGTTTCCCAAGGAAATGAGGCTTGTGTGTAAGATTTGTTGTTTTGTGAAGGAGACTTACATGAGCTCTTTCTTCCTCCTCCACAGTCTTTGAACCCTTGAACTGATTTCAACTAAATTTGACAAGCCTCCAAAACACTGAGGCTGTGCAGGAGATTTGTACAACACTGGGCTTGTACAATGCTTAACAGGTTTAAATTAGTTTGATGCACTTTGCATCTCAGATGCCAATTTAGGCAGAAATATTTGCCTGGATTGTTTTTATGTGAAATTTGTGGACTTGGGAGAAACAAAAGTTTTCAAATACTGGAATTTTGCTTGCAGACTCTCATGTCTTTGATGTCCTCGGGAGAAGCCTGAGCCAACAGGATAAGTTATCACTTAGTTATCTATGTTGTCACTTTGACACAATTCTTCTCAAAGGTTGTTTTGTCTCTGTGTGACAACAAGCAGGATTCACACACAAAAAAGGATAGTGTTGTTTTCCAGGCCGTTTTAAAGGAATAGGTTTGTGGGTTTTTTTAATTATCTAGAGGAATAGAAGTCTTGTGCACATGAGAATGACTGGAAACAAAATAGGAAACCAAGGTGGGATGTTCTTTGCTTCAGTGCTGCAAAGTAACTCAACCTTGCAGAAGTTGGATCTTGGAGACTGTGATCTGGTGAGTAACCCAGTAAAATTATCAGCAATGACATAAGTCTTTCAAGGGTATTACAAGGGTCCTGTAGAGCTTAATTAGGGGGGAATGCCATCTGTTGTCATTGATTTTTACATTTTGTGACAGCCAGAGGTGACACAATATATAATACAGCAATGTGTGCTTGGAAAGGCACGTTGCACAAAGCACCTGGGAAGTCAGAACTGATGATATTTTAGAGCCATTGTGTCCCTGGGGATATAAGTGCTTGTCTTTCACATCCTCTGAGGTTTGTTTCTGCTGCTCATTTCTGTTATTCCAATCCTGTGTAATTCATGTTGAAGAATGGACTTTTTGTTCCCTGGAGAATCTTTTCCTTCTGAAGTGTGCGGTGCTATAGCACCTGAAAGTCACCCATCCCATAGCTCTGTTGCTCCTCTCAGATCCATAAAGGACATAAGCACAGCAGTGCTAAATTGAGTAGAAAAGCACCAAATTTGATCTTGGATGACCTGCTTCCTCCTGGAGTCAGGCACTGAGACTTCTAACACAGTGCACAGGGAGATTCAGGAGGGTTGGAATGGCCTGTGGATCACTTTTAAAAACCTGTAATTTTTTTCCTGGAAATTCAGAATTTGCTCCTAAACTAGAGGGGGGAATAACCCCTCAGGAATTGTGAAGGTCTTATGAATACATGAACAAGAAAAGTATAGCCAGTGTAGGATTTATTCAAAAGCTTAGTATGTGTGTTCTTGGTAGGGAGTTGATTGAGAGTGTAAAATTAAGTGGCTTTGGGTGTGGACCAGCCTAATTGGAAAGTAGCATAAGTAAAAATTAGTGAGCAAACCAGAAGGAAATAAAAAAAATCCGAATTGACCCATATTCTAGAGTCTCATTTCTCTGTACCACATGATTGATGCTAAATTTGAATTTACCTAGGGGAACACACATAAGCTGATCTTGTTTTATAAATTAGGAAAACCAAAATACAGGATCAATTAAATGGACAAATTAAATGGATCTTTGAGATCCATTATTCTTGCTTTTTATCTTCTGAGTTGCCAGGTCATTTGTACTATTTAGTCTAATTCCACTCTACTCTTCCGTAGGCAGTTGGCATTGGTATTGTCAGAAAATCTGTTAGGTGTCTCTAAGCAGTTGACTATTGTACTCCAGAGACAGGGGGGCAGAAATAATAGTCATGGTAATTTGGCAGCTTGAGCTATACATTAAATAGGTTTCTCTAAAGAGTTTGTTTTCATTTCCAGGGCCTGAAGTGTCTGATAGCAATAGCCACAGCCCTGACTCAGAACAAATCCCTCAGAGCAATAAACCTAAATCGTCCCTTACTGTACAGCCAAGAGGTATGTGAGTGACTGTGGTGTCAGCTCAGAGAGGAGCATAAGCCAAGTCAGTGCTGATATATTTATGGACATCTGAACTACACAGCTCTTTGGAATTTCTTGCAAACTGAAGCAAATGGTTGCAGAAATATTCTTTCTCTTTCTGTGCAGTCACCACCTGCCCCTGTTTAACTAGAAGGTTAAATTTTAAAAAATCTCTTTCTTGGTACATTTGTTAAATAATGGGCTGATGGAGAGGGCTTGGTATTGGAGAACAAAGTATTCCTTCTGCTGTTCCAGCATGGAGTTTCCAGCTTTGCTCAGCAAACTGAGGGAGAAATGCTGTTTAGCAGGAAATGAGGGGAAGCACAAAGGGCTGCTGTTTACCTGAGTCTAAAGAAGAAAGAGACGCTGCAGCAACCCCCCACCTTCCCTGGGCTGGGGCTTTGGCTGTTTCACTCTGTGTGGCTG